AAGGCACCATCAAGGCGGTGAACTCCCCAGCAAAACAAGTCCCTGGGATCGCCAAGGATGTGAAGGTGAAGATTAGGGACTAGCAAGGTACGTTGGACTTCACTATTGTCCCCATGGATGATTTCAAAGTTGTGTTGGGACTTGCTTTCTTTTGTAAAGCACATGCTTTCCCTATTCTTGAAGCCAAGTCTATGGTGGTCATCAACTCCAACATGATTTGGGTGATCCCCTTGAAGGGCTTGGAGAAATCCAAACCTATGATTTTTGCCTTGCAATTCAAGAGGAGTCTCAAGAACTCAGAAAGATACATTGCCTCTGTACGTTCATTAGCTGAGGAAGAGGATGGCACAACCAATCCACAGAAAACCTTGCCCCCTTGCATCTAAAAGGTCCTACGGGAGTACAAGCACGTCATGCCAAATGAGTTGGCCAAGAAACTACCTCCTAGAAGAGAGGTAGATCATTAAATTGAGTTGGAGCTTGGTGCCAAACCACCTGCTTTGGTACCTTACCGCATGTTACCTATAAAGCTTGCCAAATTAAGGAGACAACTCTAAGATCTCCTTGATTCTGGATACATCCAACCATCCAAGGCCCCATATGGTGCTCTAGTCCTCTTTTAAAAGAAGAAGGATGGTTTGTTACGGATGTGTATCAACTATAGGGCCTTGAACAAGATTACAATTAAGAACAAGTACCCGATACCTTTGATTGCTGACTTGTTTGATCAGCTTGTAAAGGCCAGGTACTTCTCTAAGCTTAATCTTCAATCGGGGTACTATCAAGTACGCATCGTCGCAGGTGATGAGTCAAAGACAACCTGCGTGACAAGATGTAGAGCATTCGAATTCCTTGTCATGCCCTTTGGACTGATAAATGCCTCAGCAACATTCTGCATACTCATGAACAAGTTGTTCCACCCTTACTTGGACCAGTTCATGGTGGCATACTTGGATGACATCGTGATGTACAGCAATACTCTTGAAGAGCATGCTCAACACTTAAAGAAAGTCTCCAGGTACTCTTTGATCATGAACTTTACATTAATCTGGAAATGTTCTTTTGCCAAATAAGAGGTGGACTTCTTAGGGCATCAGATTAAGGATGGGAAGCTCATGATGGACCCAACTAAGGTTCAAGCCATTCAAGAATGGCAACCTCCCGCCAAGGTCTCAGAGTTAAGATCATTCCTTAGTCTGGTGAACTACAATCAATGGTTCATCAAGGGGTATTCAACAATTATTGCTCCATTGACTAACTTACTCAAGAAGAATAAGTCTTGGCAATGGTCGCAAGATTGCCAAGATGCTTTTGAAAAGCTGAAGAAAATGGTCGTGCAAGAGCCTATTATGTCTTTGCCTGACTACTCCAAGCCGTTTGAGGTACACACCGATACCTCAGACTTTGCAACAGGGGGGTACGAGAGCCATAAGTTAAATGAGACAGAGAGGCACTACACGGTGCAAGAAAAAGAGATGTCTGCCATAATCCATTATCTCTAAACATGGCATCATTACTTACTTGGAAGTAAGTTCACTATAATGACAGACAACATTGCTACGAGCTACTTCCAAACGTAAAAGAAGCTCAGCCCAAAGCAAGCTTGTTGGCAAGATTTTCTTGTTGAGTTTGATTATCAGTTAGAGTATAGGCCAAGCAAAGCAAATGTGGTGGTGGATGCACTGAGTATAAAAGCTGAGTTAGCTACTCTCTTAGCAAGCATGCCCCAAAATGACTTCCTTGAACGAATTAAGGAAGGTATGTCTCAAGACTCAACTGCAAGTGACTTAGTAAAACTTGCTGCAGAAGGCAAGACTTAAAGATTCTGGGTGAATGATGGAATACTCTACACCATTGGGAATCGAGTTTATGTGCTGAAATGGGGCAACCTTTGAAGGGATGTCCTAAAAGAGTACCACGATTCTATACAAGCTAGACATCCAAGTATGGAACGAATGCTTGCTCTTGTACAAAATCACTTTTACTAGCCACATATGCAAGATGATGTCGAAGTATATGTGAGGACATGCTTAGTATGCCAGCAAGATAAAGTTGAACAACAACATCCTGCTAGTCTACTCAAACCTCTGTCGGTGGCTGAAAGACCATGGGAGAGTGTCTTAATGGACTTCATAGTTGCTCTCCCTAAGTTTGAAGGATGTGGGAGTATCATGGTGGTGGTTGATAGACTTAGCAAATATACCACCTTTATACCAGCCCCAGTAGATTACAAAGTTGATGAAGTAGCACGCTTGTTTTTCAAGCATGTCGTGAAGCTATGGGGGATCCCTCATAGCATTGTCAGTGATTGAAATCCCTGATTTATCAGGAAATTTTGGAGAGAACTTTTCAAGCTCTTGGGGACAGACTTGAATTTCTCAACAAGCTTTCATCCTCAGAGCAATGAACAAATAAAGCGTATCAATACTTTGTTAAAGCTCTACCTTCGACACTATGTGAGCACTCATCAATGAGATTAGGCTAAGTTGCTTGATATGGCCCAATTCTCTTACAATTTGTAGTGAAGCGAGTCAATAGGTAAGAGCCCTTTTGAGATAGTTATCAGGCAACAACCTCTAACCCCCAATGCCCTTACCATGCCATATAAGGGAGATAATCCAGCTGCGTATAAGTTTACTAAAGAATGGCAAGAGGAAGCCGACATTACTCATGCATGCCTGGATAAAGCCTCTTGTAAAATGAAGAAGTAGGCAAACAAGAAGCAACGCCCTATTGAGTTTCAAGTTGGTGACTTGGTCATAGTCAAGTTATTACCGAATCAATTCAAGTCACTATGCAATATCCACAAAGGCTTGGTCAAGAGATATGAAGGCCCTTTCCCTATCGTCAAATGTATGGGAAAGGTTGCATATCAGGTACAACTTCCTCCCAAGCTTAAGATTCATCCTATCATCTATGTTAGTCTCTTGAAGAAATACAGCAGAGATGAAGAAGATCCATCTCGAGGTATCTCTAAGAGAGCACCAACAGCAGTCGTCAATGAGTACGATAAGGAGATTGAAGAAATCCTTGCCGATAGGGTGATCAGAAAGAGAGGAGTTCCCAACTACACCAAATACTTAATCAAGTGGAAGTGTCAACTAGACTCTAAAGCTAGTTGGGAACGTGAAGACGTCTTGTGGCAATTCACCGACCAAATCCAACATTATAAGGAGGAAGGCGCGATGAGGGTGTCGCCAAATTAAGTGGGGGAAAATGTCATAATTCATCATTTTTCATGAGGTTAAGGAGCTCTAAAATGTTCTAGAACTCTCCAAAAGGCTCCCAGACAACCGTGAGAGTACTAGAGAGTGCAAGAACATTCTAGAGAAGTCTACACAACTCTAGCCTTAATATTTTAATATTTGCTACTAGATCTTTCCGTGTTAATATCTAGATATTTGTTATAAATATCTAGGAGAGGATTCTAGAGAATGAATTGTAATCGTAGGATTGATTCAATCTCTACTATCCATTAAGGAGGTGGGAAATATCTAGATCCAAGAGGGAGGCCTATAAATACCTCACCCCTCCTCATTTGTAACACAACCCTTGAGTTCTCAAAGCAATACTAATCTCACATACTCCAAGCTCTCTTCTAAGTATCCTTTGCCCTCAAGCTTTCCCTTTCCTCAACTTAGCCAAGCATCCTCCTTTCATACAAGTTAGGCTTACTTAGTAACTTCTAGTGAAGATTGTCTAAGTGTCGTACGGGTCAAAAGACTAGCCCTGTGAACTATGCTCTAGATACATTAGCATGGGATAACATTATAGGATTCTGATCCTATTGTGTTGGCCTTCAGGATCGGAGTAATGATTAATAGGGACATTCAAGGGCATTCGTATTTCATAGTCAGAGGTGAAATTCCTGAATTTATGAAAGATGAACAACTGTGAAAGCATTTGCCAAGGATGTTTTCATTAATTAAGCACGAAAGTTGGGGGCTCGAAGACGATCAAATACCGTCCTAGTCTCAACCATAAACAATACCGACTAGGGATCAGTGAATGTTGCTTTTAGGACTCCGCTAGTACCTTATGAGAAATTGAAGTTTTTAGGTTCCGGGGGGAGTATGGTCGCAAGGCTGAAACTTAAACAAATTGACGGAAGTGCACCACCAGGAGTGGAGCCTGTGGCTTAATTTGACTTAATACGGGGAAACTTACCAAGTCTATACATAGTAAGGATTGACAAATTGAGAGTTCTTTCTTGATTTTATGGGTGGTGGTGCATGGCCGTTCTTAGTTGCTAGAGCAATTTGTCTGTTTAATTCTATTAATAAATGAGACCTCAGCCTGCTAACTAGCTATGTGGAGGCGACCCTCCACGGTTAGCTTTTTAGAGGGACTATGGTCGTTCAGGCTAAGGAAGTTTGAGGCAATAACAGGTCTGTGATGCCCTTAGATGTTCTAGGCTGCATGCGTGCTATACTGATGTATTCAACGAGTTTATAGCCTTAGTCGACAAGCCCGGGTAATCTTTGAAATTTCATCATGATGGGGATAGATCATTGCAATTATTGGTCTTCAACGAGGAATTTCTAGTAAGTGCAAGTCATCAGCTCACGTTGACTATGTCCCTGCCCTTTGTACACACCGCCCATTGCTCCCACTGATTGAATGGTCCAGTGAAGTGTTCAGATCGCGGCGACATGGGCGATTCGCTGCTGGCAACATCGCGAGAAGTCCACTGAACCTTATTATTTACAAGAAGGAAAAGTCGTAACAAGGTTTCCGTAGGTGAACCTGCCAAAGGATCATTATCGATGCCCCGCGAAAGATTGACCTGAGAATCGATTGGAAAGCCCCCTCACAAGGTAAGCCTCCCCGCGCGAGCCTGGGATGTGGCCTCGCTCCGTGCTGGCCTGAGCCTGCGGCACAACAACCAACCTCAGCGTTCGAGGCGCCAAGGAAACGCAGAGAAGCAACGCGTCGCTGGCAACCTGAAAGCAAAGCCCTCGAAGCCAGCATTGCATCTTTTGCCATTTGTATTCGAAAATGACTCTTGGCGATAGATATCTTAGCTCTCACATCGATGAAGAGCGTAGCGAAATGCAATACTTGGTGTGAATTGTAGAATCTTGTGAACCACTGAGTCTTTGAATGCAAGTTGCACCTGAAGCCATTAGGTCGAGGGCACGTCTACTTGGGCGTCACGCAACGTCACTATCACCTAAAATCGTACAAGGCAGAAGGTGGCCTCCTGAGAGCCCCGGCTCCCGACAGGCTGAAAGTTACCCCTCAGCGACGGCCACCACGGTAGAAGGTGGATGAGATGCCAATCGAACCTACACGTGCGCGTGCTATCCCCCAAGTCGGGCCACCAAATCGGTGTCCCTGAATGCGACCCCAAGTCAGGCGGGGCTACCTGCTGAGTATAAGCACATCAATAAGTAGAGGAAAAGAAACTAACAAGGATTCCCTTAGTAATGGCGAGCGAACGGGAAAAGCCTACCATGAGAATGGGTCACCCTCGGAGTCCGAATTGTAGTTTGGAGAAGTATCCTCAGCAGTGGACCGAGCCCAAGTCCCTTAAAAGGGGGCGCCGGAGAGGGCGAGAGCCCCGTCATGCTTGGACCCTGTCACACCATAAGGCGCTATCGGCGAGTTAGGTTGTTTAAGAATGCAGCCCCAATCAAGCAGTAAATTCTGTCCAAGGCTAAATACTAACGAGAGACCAATAGCGAACAAGTACCGCGAGGGAAAGATGAAAAGGACTTTGAAAAGAGAGTCAAAGAGTGCTTCAAATTATTAGGAGGGAAATAAATAGGGGCTGGTGATGCGTCCTAGTCGGATGTGGAACGACGCAAGCCGGTCCGTTGATCAACCCAGGACGTCGACCAATATGGATTGCGGTGGCGGCCAAAGCCCATGCTATTAACATGCCTATGGTAATGTTGTCGCCACGATCATGGCTGACAGCATGCACCATCACGGCATGACCCAACACCCGCGTGCTCCCGGCGTTGGCCTGCGAGCTCCCTATTTGGCCCCTCTTGAAACACCGACTAAAGAGTCTGACATGTGTGTGAGTCAATGGGTGAGCAAACCCATAAGGCGGAAGGAAGCTGATTGACGGGATCCCCCAATAGGCTATACCCCCGACCGACATTGATCTTTTATAAAAGGTTCGAGTGAGAGCATGCCTATTAAGACTTGAAAGATGGTGAACTATGCCTGAGCGAGGCAAAGCTAGAGGAAACTCTAGCAGAGACCCAAAGTGATATTGACATGAAAATCATTCATCTGACTTGGGTATAGGGGCGAAAGACTAATCAGACCGTCTAGTAGCTGGTTCCCTCTGAAGTTTCCCTTAGGATAGCTGGATCTCAAATGTGAGTTTTATCAGGTAAAGCTAATGATTAGAGGCATCAGGGGCATAACGCCCTCGATCTATTCTCAAACTTTAAATAGGTAGGATGGCCTGGCTGCTTCATTGAGCCATGCCACAAAATTGAGAGCTTTAAGTGGGCCATTTTTGGTAAGCAGAACTGGCGATACGAGATTAACTCGAAGTCGAGTTACGGTGCCCAACTGCACACTAACCTAGATCCCACAAATGGTGTTAGTCAATTAAGACAATAGCACGATGGTCATGGAAGTCAAAATCTACTATGGAGTATGTAACAACTCACCTATCGAATCAACTAGCCCTGAAAATGGATGGTGCTGAAGTGCGTGACCTATAGCCAATCGTCGGGGCAAGTGCCAGGCCCTGATGAGTAGGAGGGCTCAACGGTCATTATAAAACCTCAGGCGCAAGCCCGGGCAAAGCAGCCGTTGGTGCAGATCTTAGTGGTAGTAGCAAATATTTAAATGAGAACTTTGAAGTTCGAAGAGGGGAAAGGTTCTACGTGAACGGCACTTGCACATGGGTTAGTTGATCCTAAGAGATGGGGAAGCCCGTCTGATAGCGTGCGACACGCGCACTTCGAAAGGGAATCGGGTTAAAATTCCTAAACCAGGATGCAGCAACTGACAGCAATGTTAGAGAGTCTGGAGACATCGGCGAGGGCCTCGAGAAGAGTTCTCTTTTCTATTTAACAGCTTGCCTACCCTAAAAATGGCTCAACCGGAGATAGGGTCCAGCAGCTAAAAGAGGACCGCACGTAGCATGGTGGCCCTTGAAAATCTAGAGGATATAGTACCTCCTATGCCCGATCATACTCATAACCACATCAGGTCTCCAAGGTGAACAGCCTCTAGTCGATAGAACAATGGAGGCAAGGAAAGTCAGTAAAATAGATCCATAACCTCAAAAAAAGGATTGGCTCTGAGGGCTGGGCATGGGAGATTCCTGTACTTAAGATTCCTCTTGCAAGGATCCTTCTTCTTCTTGGCTTTCTTACGATTCATCTCCCCATGAGATAAGATCATCCTGGGCCTTCTTGGCATGCCATCCTCCTTTAGTACTTGCATAGCTGATAATTGTACAAATCCACCCCTTGAAGTTGGTACCGTACAAGCAACTCCTCCCTCGAGGATGCAGAATATATTATGATATGGCATGATAAAGGCTTTTACCTTTCGCATGAACTTCAAACCAAGCACCATATTGTTGTCGTCTATACGAGCAACTGAGAAGTCTACCTTTCCATGCCAATCCCCAAGACATAGCTCGGCCCCTCGAGTAATGCCAATTAAGGGTTGAGGAGGAGAATTGGAGACTTTCAATAAACCACCCCCTTTTCAACTTTAAGACCTACCCTTTTGGCCTCTTCTAGTGAAATGAAGTTATGGTCAGCCCCAGTATCCACCATGATGCTGACAGCCTTCCCATTTAGCTTAGCCTCCACATGCATTAATCTACTGCCTTATGAAGGTTGGGCTTTAGAAGTGTTGAGGAGTTGAATTGATCCTATCCTAGGATTTTCTTCTTCCTCTTGCACTTCCTGTCTTTACACCAAAGCAGATAATGACCCCAACTTCAGGCAATCCTTCATCTTATGAGGGCCTTGACATACAAATCAGCAAAGTTCCCTCTTCTCCTTCTACTTTGTCTGGGATCCCTTCCCAGTGTCTCCTTTATTCATCGCCTTCCCTTCAAGGTTTGTCCCTTTATCGTTTCCTCCCCTACCATTCTCAAGATTAGGGTTAGAAAATCTATTCTTAGGAGACTCACCTCTTTCTTTCTAAAGCTTCGAGAGACTCTCGGCGACCACAATGGCTTCATCGATGGTCTTGACACATCACCACTGCAACTCATGTTTGGCCCAATTTTGAAGACCATCAATGACGTAGAAGAGACCCTCTTCACTGCTTAGATTTAGAATATGAAGAGTTAAAGAGGTGAATTCCTGTGCATAGTATTATAGTGGTCTTATGTTTAAGCTCTCTCAACTTCTTATGAGCTACATAAACCACATTCTCCAGATAGAATTTCCTCTTCAATTCCTTCTTAAAATCTTCCCACACGTTAATTGGGTAAAATCCCTTCTCTATGGCTGCATGCTTCCTTCGCCACCATAACATTGCATTATCGGCAAGGAAGTGAGTAGCAGTACGTACCTTGGTTTGATCATCTGTTATCCCCAAGGTGTCGGCATAGAGATCCATCTGCCACAAGAAGTTTTCAACTACTTGGGCATCCCGTACACCTTTAAATTCTTTTGGTTTGGGAAGATCCATTCTCACTCCCTTATTCCACTATTTCCATCTAATAGTGAATTCCTTCATTTTGCCTTTAAGGAAGTCTTGAGAGTGTTGAATTGATGTTGCATTGCAGTGATTGCCTCTATAACCTTTGCCTCTAAGGATTTCACGACATCCTCCCGTTGATCCTCTGAGTTTTGCAAGGCATCCATTCTACTCTTTACCCCTTCAAGTTCTTTAAGAGTGTGGTTCTCCAACATACCCATGTCACCTTCAACCTTCTCTGCTCTACCCGCCATTTCTTCCATAGCCTTCTCTAAAGCATCAATTTTTATGGAGAGTATAGTAAGGTCTTCTGAATGTACCTTACTAGTGCCTCGCGCTTTCTTGCAACCTTGGTGTGGAGGTTGGGATTCCCTTGCCCTCACTTCCACATGAGCAAGAGTCTCCTTAGTCACACCTGACATCCTTTGCCTATGAGTATATATTGAAACCACAGCTCCCTCGAACCTTGGCTCTGATACCATATTGTCACGGCCTTGGAACTCCCTAGTCCTTGAACTGTGCCGACCTTAGCGTGATCAACCTCTTGATCATGACTAAGTCAGCTGAACCCACAAAGCAGGGAAAGAGACTTAAAAGACAAGTTGCACAAGTAGAGAGAGTAGAGCTTGAGTGAATGAACTTGAAAGCTTTATTACTTAGCTTAAGTTGTTACAAATGAGGGGTGACGGGGTATTTATAAGCCTCCCCCTTTCTCTAGAAAATTCCTGCCTCCTTAATAGACAGTTAGGATTGATTTGATCCAATGGTGTACATTTTGTCTCTAGAATATTCTATAAAAATATCTACAACAAATATCTAGATATTTACATAGAAGTTTCTAGAGACTATCCCTCAAGATATGTGTGAAATATTCTAGAACATCTTAGAATATTCTAGATATCTCCACATTCCTCCATAAGTTTCTAGAACCTTTTAGAAACTTCTAGATTTCTCTAGATTATTCTAGATTGTTTTAGATGCTTGTAGAACATTCTAGAACATACTAGATTCTTCTTGAAATCTCTAGAATTCTCTTCGTTATCCTAGAGGTCTCCAAAAATTCCACAACCTTGCAGGTTCTCTTATATTTGAATATAGGTTGTGACACTGTGCTAAGTAAAGAAAGGAGAAGACAAGAAAAATAAGGATTGAAATGTCACTCAGGCTTAAATGACTTGATTGAGAAAACATTTAGAGTTTTGCAATCTTGCATTAGTATGCCATCTTTTGAAAGTTGAAAAGGGTTTTAATTCATCAATGATAGAATGGTATGGTTTTTAAGTGCAGTTAAGCAAAAATTTTTAAAGATGATCTTATAGCAAGCTCCTAATACTTAATAATGGCATATTTAGGGTTTTGACAAACAGTTAAAACTATTGGTTTAATTGAGTTAGTAAAGGGTGGAAGTATTTTTAAATGTCACAAAATCTTGCATGAAATGGCTAGCAGAAAGCGAAGACTATTCAATGTGATCAAAACTCATGTGGAACCAAAATCATATCACACGTGAAATTGCAAG